TTTAAAGTTTTTTCTTTTGGTTGCCATGGCAACCAGAGTTCTGCATGGAATTAAATTCTTTGAACAATTTTTAAAGGTGACCACCGAAGGAACATTCCTGTGAAGTTTGGATGAAATTGGCTTAGTGGTTTATGAGGAGATGTCATTTAAAGTAAAATTTTACGGTCGGACGCCGGACAAAAAGCGATCACAAAAGCTCACCCTGTCACTTTGGTGAGATAAAAAGCCTCTTAAAAAAAAAAAAAAAAAAAAAAAAAAAAAAAAGTTGCCTCGACTAGGATTTGAACCCCAGACCTCTCACACCGCAAACGAGCGCGCTACACCTGCACCACGGTGACGTTATACGTAGCGAAAATCTTCTCGCCAAAACAGTCTGACATGTATATATTCCACTACTCGACAGTCAGATTTATTTGTGTACTAAGCTCTGGAGTATTCATTTGGTAATTGACATCGCTAAAAATAGCATTTTCATTGATTAAAATGATTTTCATTAAAGTCTCCTGTTACAAGTTCAAATTGCTATAAAACTATAACAAGAGGGCCATGATGGCCCTGAGGTCGCTCACCTGTATATAGGCCCCAGGAGCAGGGCCAGTTTAAACCCCAGGGCTTTTATTTGAACAAACTTTGTAGACACCCATTAGAACATGTTTCATGCTAAATATCTTAGCTCTAGCTCTTTGTGTTCTTTAAAAGAAGATTTTTTAAGTTTTTACTATATGCATAAAGGGAAAATCAATGACCCCCTGGGGCGAGGCAATTTTGACCCTAGGGCTTTTATTTGAACAAACTAGGTAGACACTCACTAGAAGATGTTTCATGCTTAATATCTAAACTCTAGCTATTTGGTTTTTTTCAAAGAAGATTTTTTAAGTTTTTGCTATACACATATAAGGAAAATCAATGACACCCGGGGCGGGGCCAATTTTGACCCCAGAGCTTTTATTTGAACAAACTTTGTAGACACCCATTAGAACATGTTTCATGCTAAATATCTTAGCTCTAGCTCTTTGGGTTCTTTAAAAGAAGATTTTTTAAGTTTTTACTATATGCATATAGGGAAAATCAATGACCCCCTGGGGCGGGGCCAATTTTGACCCTGGGGCTTTTATTTGAACAAACTTTGTAGACACTCACTAGAAGATATTTAAAGATTTTTCTTTCGGTTTTTTGCCATGGCAACCAGAGTTCTGCATGGAATTAAATTCTTTGAACAATTTTTAAAGGTGACCACCAAAGGAACATTCCTGTGAAGTTTGGATGAAATTGGCTCAGTGGTTTATGAGGAGATGTCATTTAAAGCAAAAGTTTACGGACGGACGACGGACGGACGCCGGACGGACGCCGGACGAAAAGCGATCACAAAAGCTCACCCTGTCACTTTGTGACAGGTGAGCTAAAAACTGCTTCAATCCTAATCAAACTTGGCACAAATGTTGACTGGACCATTGCCTTTGCAACAACATGCTCAGGCTTAAATTTCCTGTTACCATGGCAACGAGGGGACATCTCAAAATTGCCAAAAACCACTATTTTCCGTTGATTTTTCCATCAAAATTGATTTCAAAGTGCTGCAACTTCTCAATGAATTGAGATACAGTCAAATGCTTTTCAGCGTTAGTTACATGTTACCTTATGATCGATCTGGGGTCATTTTTAGCCTCTCACAAGTCCAAAATTTTCTTGGCGATGAGGGGGACTGCTGCCCCCCCCCTTCAAACCCAATCTCCACACAGTGATCTCCCCTTAATTCTTCGGCATATATCTCTGCCACCAAGGTCCCGATATATCAGAATTTCTGATATACTATATTTTTTCAAAAATTGTTTTATCTACTGCTTTTAGCTATCAGATAAGTTTTCTCTTATTTATTTAACAATGTTTATGAATAAATAAATAAATAATATGAATATTTAGAAATAATTTTAACTAGAACTATCACTAAATGTGATTAATACCCCCACAAGTCTGCTTAGGAAATGAGGATGTTACTAGTAACAGAATACCTTGTAAAAGAATTGAAACATAGAGTTATGGTTGTGGGCAATTAAAGATAATTGTGGTTCATGTATGTTGCATTTCCTTTCAATGTGGTTGGCCATTGATGAAGTTTAATTGAATTACTCTGTAATAAGTCCAGAAAGACAAAGAAAAAGAACAAAGGGCAAACACTCTATAAATACTAAGATAGAGTTATAGTTCTTGTGCACTGCACTTCCTCTTATTGTGCTTGACCATTGTATGAAGTTGTTTTGAATTCCAACCAGTACGTTTTAAGTTATGCTCCGGACAAGCAAAAGTATCAAAGGGCAGTAACTCTGTATTTTGTCAAAATGGAGTTATGGGCTCTTGTGCACTGCACTTCCTTTGAATGTCCTTGACAACTGTATGAAGTTGTACTGAATCCAAACAGTAGTTTTCAAGTTATGCTCTGGACAAGGAAAAGTAACAAAGGGCAATAACTCTGTAATTAGTCAAGATGGAGTTATGGTTCTTGTGCACTGCACTTCCCCTTATTGTGCTTGACCATTGTATGAAGTTGTTTTGAATTCCAACCAGTAGTTTTCAAGTCATGCTCTGGACAAGGAAAAGTAACAAAGGGCAGTAACTCTGTAATTAGTCAAGATGGAGTTATGGTTCTTATGCACTGCACTTCTCTCAATGTGCTTGACCATTGTATGAAGTTATAATGAATTCCAACAATAAGTCTTCAAGTTATGGTCCGGACAAAAGAAAGCAATGGAAAAGTAACAAAGGGGCAATAACTCTGTAATTAGTCAAGATGGATTATGGTTCTTGTGCACTGCACTTCCCCTTATTGTGCTTGGACCATTGTATGAAGTTGTTTTGAATTTCCAACCAGTAGTTTTAAAGTCATGCTCTGGACAAGGAAAAGAAACAAAGGCAGTAAACTCTGTAATAAGTCAAAATGGAGTTATGGTTCTTTGTGCACTGCAATTCCTTCTCAATGTGCTGGACCATTGTATGAAGTTATAATGAATTCCAACAATTAGTCTTCAAGTTATTCGTCCGGACAAAAGAAAGCAATGGAAAAGTAATAAAGGGCAATAACTCTGTAATTACTTTAGATAGAGTTATGGTTCTTATGCACTGCACTTCCTCTCAATGTGCTTGACCATTGTATGAAGTTATATTGAATTCCAACCATTTAGTCTTCAAGTTATGCTCCGGACAAAAAAAAAAAAGAAGGCAATTGAAAAGCAACAAAGGGCAATAACTCTGTAATTACTTTAGATAGAGTTATGGTTCTGTGCACTGCACTTCCCCTTATTTGTTTGACAATTGTATGAAGTTGATTTGAATTCCAACCAGTAGTTTTCAAGTTAAGCCACGGACAAGGAAAAGTAAATCAAAGGGCAATAACTCTGTAATTAGTCAAGATAGAGTTATGTTTCTTACGCACTGCACTCCCTCTCAATGTGCTTGACCATTGTATGTAGTTATTATTGAATTCCAATCATTAGTCTTCAAGTTATGCTCCGGACAAGGAAAAAGCAACGGACAAAAAAAAAAACAATGGAAAAGCAACAAAGGGCAATAACTCTGTAATTACTTTAGATAGAGTTATGGTTCTTGTGCACTGCACTTCCCCTTATTGTGTTTGACAATTCTATGAAGTTGTTTTGAATTCCAACCAGTAGTTTTCAAGTTATGCCCCGGACAAGGAAAAAGTAACAAAGGGCAATAACTCTGTAATTAGTCAAGATAGAGTTATGGTTCTTGTGCACTGCACTTCCTCTCAATGTGCTTGACCATTGTATGTAGTTATATTGAATTCCAACCATTAGTTTTCAAGTTATGCTCGCGGACAAGGTAAATGCAACGGACGTCTGGACCGACCGACCGACCGACCGACCGCCCGACCGACCGACCGACCGACCGACCACCGGGTGACTCCTATATACCCCCCCAAACTTCGTTTTTGGGGGTATAAAAACTATGAGATTATTTTCTACCGAGACTATATATTGATATTTGATATTTTTTAGCTTTTGAATTTATTTTTCGTTATTTTGTATACTTTCGATAATTTTTGATAAACTATATCGAACGTATGTACTAAAAGTTAAAAATAAAACAGAAAGAGAAAAAATAACGTTAGATTTTCTTTGTAACGGTCGATATTTACATTTGAATTTCGACGTTACGTCATGTGACTTTCATCATCATGTGACGTCTTTGAAGGCAGTGATTACAATTCTGCCAAGGGAGGTAATCACTGTGAGGAGTTTGCTTCAAACCCTCAAATAGAAGGGCCCACATCCCCCTTCTGGCAACCCCCTGATGTATCTTTTGGTTGGGGGATCCCGCAGAAAAAGTGGTCACTTTTATACACAACATTTCTCAAACAAAAACAAGTGTTGGGGGCCTAAATAAGGCATTTTTTTCACCATTTGAGACAACAAAAAAGGGGGGGGTGAAAAAGGCCTATAAAGGCGTGTATATCGCGTAGTGGGTTAAACAATACTTATCGTGATACGTATCGTATAGTGAAATGAGCATTTCATTACACCCTACGATGTCCTTTTCCCCAGAGGGTCAAAATGCAATATCAAATGGGGTTTCTTTACACCAAGTTTGATTACAATATTTCATTCATAACTCGAGTTATTGTACGGAAACCATTTTCCTACTTTTAGTAGTGGTGACCTTGACCATGACCTCAGGGGGTTCAAATGCAATACCAACAGGGGTTTCCATATTAGGTTGCTATATACCAAGTCTGATTACAAAACCACATTCCAAACTCTATTTATTGTCCGGAAACCATTATGTGGCCAGACTGACAGACCTACTGACGGATTGATTGACAAGCTAACTCCTATATACCCCCCTAAACTTCATTTGTGGGGGTATAATAAAAAGAAAAATTTGTTTGTTGTGTAAGATGTAATTGTCTTATAACACAGATGCAACTGTTAACATAAAACCATGACACTTAATGAGTGAAATAATCTAACTCAATATTTACTTACTTTGAACAGTTTTGCAATATTCATTTCCACCACCAATGCATTTTGCAGCACATCCTGATATACAACATTCTACTTTATCACCATCTTTAACTGTTGCACTACTTGAAGACTTTGCTACACCATTTACCTGCAAACATAAACTAGAATTTCACTATTGAAGATTTATACCATTTCATCTCAATTAAAGTCACATCTTTGAGACTTAAATTACTATCATGTTGAGAATCATCTTGATACATGTCATTTATCCTTGGGTAGGGTTAATTTTGACCCTAGGGTTTTTTATTTGAACAAACTTGGTAGACATCCACTAGAACATGTTTCTTGCCAAATATCTAAGTCCTAGCACTTTTGGATTTTCACATGAAGATTTTTTAAGCTTCTATTACAGTCTAACTTGCCCATGCTACCAAGTGTATTAAGCGACTTTTGTCTTATGCTACCACTTTAAATTCCCCTCGATAATTTTCTCTCTATATCTTTTATGTATTTTTACAAACTGTCTGTCTTGGGGAAGGATTTTATTTTGTTTACAGTCTGTAGAAAAACACATAGGCAGTATAAGTCAAAATATCCTTTAATTAGTTTAGACAGTCAAAGAAATTATTAATACAATGTATAACAAGAAGCTCCGCAATGCAACAAAAACCAGGTTTTCAACGACCAAGTTTTGATGTGACAGCAATCAAAATAGGTCAAAGTGCACTGAAGTTATTGAGTAGATACTGAAAATTCTATTGTAAGCAAATTACCTTGACCTTGCTCCCAGATATCTAAGTGGCAATCCAAAGCTGCCACTCAGTAAGTTTGGTGTCAAAAGGTCAAAGCAAACTCAAGTTAAAACATGAAATCTAAATACATTAACCTTGATCACAGACACCTGGGTAGCAATCCCAAGCTGCCACTTGATATAAGCTACCCATTCATCAAGTTTGGTGTCAATAAGCCAAAGCAAACTCAAGTTATTGAGCAGAAACTGAATTTCTATTTTTAGTAACAGTGACCTTGACCTTGATCACAGACACCTGGGTAGCAATCCCAAGCTGCCTCTTGATATAAGCTATCCATACACCAAGTTTGGTGTCAATAGGCCAAAGCAAACTCAAGTTATTGAGCAGAAACTGAATTTCTATTTTTAGTAACAGTGATCTTGACCTTGATCACAAGACACCTGAGTAGCAATCCCAAGCTGCCTCTTGATATAACCTATCCATACACCAAGTTTGGTGTCAATAGGCCAAAGAAAACTCAAGTTATTGAGCGGAAACTGATTTTCTATTTTTAGTAACAGTGACCTTGACCTAGATCACAGACACCTGGGTAGCAATCCCAAGCTGCCTCTTGATATAACCTATCCATACACCAAGTTAAGTTCAATAGGCCAAAGCAAACTCAAGTTATTGAGCGGAAACTGATTTTCTATTTTTAGTAACAGTGACCTTGACCTAGATCACAGACACCTGGGTAGCAATCCCAAGCTGCCTCTTGATATAACCTATCCATACACCAAATTTGGTGTCAATAGGCCAAAGCAAACTCAAGCTATTGAGCGGAAACTGAATTTCTATTTTTAGTAACAGTGACTTTGACCTTGATCACAGACACCTGGTAGCAATCCCAAGCTGCCTCTTGATATAAGCTATCCATACACCAAGTTTTGGTGTCAATAGGCCAAAGCAAACTCAAGTTATTGAGCGGAAACTGAATTTCTATTTTTAGTAACAGTGACCCTGACCTTGATCACAGACATCTTGGTAGCAATCCCAAGCTGCCTCTGGATATAAGCTATCCATACACCAAGTTTGGTGTCAATAGGCCAAAGCAAACTCAAGTTATTGAGCAGAAACTGAATTTCTATTTTTAGTAACAGTGACCTTGAAATAGATCACAGACACCTGGGTAGCAATCCCAAGCTGCCTCTTGATATAACCTATCCATACACCAAGTTTGGTGTCAATAGGCCAAAGCAAACTCAAGTTATTGAGCGGAAACTGAATTTCTATTTTTAGTAACAGTGACCTTGATCACAGACACCTGGGTAGCAATCCCAAGCTGCCTTACAAAGTTTGGTGTCAATAGGCCAAAGCAAACTAAAGTTATTGAGGGGAAACCAGAAGTTGAAGACAGCCCGCCCGCCGACTTTGGCATTAGAATAACCCGGTTTTCGTTGAAAACCTGGTTAATAAGAAATAATCTTACTTAAGAGTTCTCAATACATATAATATGGCAATATATATAAAATTTTAGACAATTTGTTTCAAGATAATAACAATTATTAATCATAATTAAGTTGTGAAAATAATCACACACTAAGCATTATGAGTTTAAAGTTTTGATAATTAAATTAGGTAACAGGTACCATGTCAACAAAATGTATATGATAAAAAACTTAATTTACATTACAAAAATCAATATTCAGTATAATAAGAACTTAGTTTCATATATTCAATTAACATAAATCAAACTTTGAAAAAACCTGGGGGCTTCCATTAAGTTCCAAAATTCGGAAGTCAAAGACTGCTGCATGTCTGACCTTGGAAGTCACATTATATAGGTAAAGAAGTTGAGTTACGTGCGACACAAGTTGAAAATTGCAAATTTTCACTTTGTGAAAGGCAATAACTCTCCAAATGCTACATAAATCTACATAAAAATACCCAGGTGCACAACTACACATGCTGATTAACATTTCTGAAAAGTTTCAAGGCCCTAGGTCAAATACTTATTGAGCTACATGCGACACAAGTTGAAAATTGCAAATTTTACTAAGTCAAGCAGAGTTCCCATTCATGCACAAATTAATGTACGTGAATCACGTATAATTTACAAAAATCACGCATGAAATTACAACTAGGTGCGTGCATGCACGTATAAAAATTCAAGTAAAACTGCAAAAAAATTATCAGCAAATTTGAAGCACAAATCAATAATCTACTCATAAATCTCTGAAATTGTTTACAAGACCATAATTTAATCCGATCAGTCATAACTGAGGTCATAACTCGGATTTCCCAGCTGTGCTATTTTTAGCTCATGGACTGGTTTATAATTATTAACGACGCTTCGCAACGCTCTATATTAAAAGCAGTAACAAGTCTGCATCCAGGCAATACAAATAAGCCGTCTGAAATATTAAATAATCGCAGGAAAAGTTATTGAAAATGGGTCAAAGACAGAAAAGGCCGGGTTGCATATGTATACAAAATATCATGAGGCTGTGATGTTACTTAAATTTTCTACCAGTGTCTGACCATTGATGTTGAAAATTTAACTTAGTTGGTAAACCGGAAAAGAATGAGCATCAGACCTGAAATGGAATCCCACAAGGCCACAATATGGGACCACATGTCAATGCTGTGAATCACATATCAAGAGGCTGTGGTAAGAAGTTGCTGAGAAAACTGTTACGAAAATTTCCTACTATCTATTGATCATTAATTATGTCAAAATTTAAAGACGTTTTAGGTAGTTTTCTGTGCGCATCGTTATGCGCTGCCAAGAAAGATTATCTTGGATAATTACTCTTCAAATGAAGGTCAAGTTGAATAGTATTCGGATAAGTGTTTAAATTTCGGCTATAAGCAAGTAATGAGTAAATAATACAGAATAGATATTTCTAAATGTTCAAAAGGAGATCGGTTCAAAAGAATAAGAGGTCGTTTAGACAACATCACATAAAGGATTTCTCCAAGCATTAGTACGACAGCATTGATGATAATTCTGCGCGCGTTACCCCACCCACTTGTGGTATAGTGACGAAAGTGCGTCGCGACTTGATTACTGGCAGACAACTGGGCAAAGATTAGTTTAAAATGATATATTTTAAAAGTGTTGAATAAAAAAACAAAATTAATATCTAAGAAATGTTCCGAATTTCATTATTTTCTTTGTAAATTTCTGAATACTTGCTTACTGTTCGGGTATGTTAGTTGAGTGAAAAAAATAATATGGCCCTAGATATGTTTTAAAAAGATATTCAGTATCATTTACTTAATATAACATCAAAAGAAAAAGAAATTTTTATTACAACATGTTTTTGTTGTATACAGTGGAGCCTTGCTAATCCGAACCCTTCTAATCCGGAATCCTTTCTTATCCAAACGAAGTGTCCGGTCCCGATTTTATTCGTTCTATTTTCAATAGTAAAAAACCTTTCGGATCTGGAACCTGTCTACTCCGAATTCCGGACGATTTTTTCAATTTTTGTTCTTATTTTACTCTAAAATTTACCTCTCGGAACCGAACAGATTTTGCCAAATGTCACACCTTCATTCAAAATAACAAATAATCGCACATCTTGCAGGTGTAAACATACACCAAACTGATGTGTTATTTCACTTGATTAATGGGTGAAACGTATGATCTGTGAAGGTGTGAAATTTACACTTGACTTGCCTTCATATCTTCTATCATTGCTTAATTGATTGTTTTTCATCACCTTCAATAAATTATTTTGATATAATGCAATAAAAATATATTTTAAAATTTTGTAATGGATTCAATGATATGTGATTAAGCAATGAAAATTTTTAGAAACTGTCATTGAATTCGGATAGTCGCTGAATCGGATAAGGGTAAACAACAATTGACAAATGCTGGTACGAATATTTAATTATGTCTCCGCCTCCTGTTTTACATCGTAGGTGAACTTACCCTCGAGGACATAATATTTTTTGGCTTATTTATTTATTTTCATTTCTTTATATTTGTATTCACGTGTATTAGAATGAACGATAAGAGACTGCAAAAATAAAATATCTAAATTGCAATTTCAAATGCATTCCCGTTTTCTTTCCCTAAACTATTTTGCAAATACAGTCGACTCTCGTTATCTCGAAGTCATCGGGACCGTCCAAAAAATATCGAGATAAAGAAATGTCGAGATAAACATATTAGGGTTTGAATACGGCAGAAACTGATTTTTACAAAAGACATGTGCATACCTTATGTCCAATAAACTATGATACTATGATATCCCCATGTCTTGTTTTCATAGGCCTAGTCAATATATAACAAAGTAACATAAGCGGATGTTTACCAGCGGAAATACGGGTGTCTGTGATAAAAACACATAGTGAGGTTTACTCAGTAATACACCAATATATATTGGTGGTGATGTTGTGAAAC